GTGTTTTTTTTCGAGGTATAGAACTTTAAGTTGGCTTTACTTTTGAAGATGGCGACCGATTTGACAGCTGTCAAGTGATCGGTATAGAACCATGATTACACATGATTTTTCATTCCTGAATTGAACAATCATGATGTCCAGGAGCTGTGGTTCGAACAAGACAGCGCAATATGTCACACAGCTCGTGCTACAATCGATTTATTGAAAGAAACGTTTGGGGACCGCGTAATTTCACGTTTTGGACCTGTGAATTGGCCTCCAAGATCGTGTGATTTAACACCGCTAGACTGTGGGGCTATGCAAAGTCATTGGTCTATGCGGATAAGCCACAAGCGCTTGACCATTTGGAAGACAACATTCGCCATGTTATTGCCGATATACGGCCACAAATGTTGGAAAAAGTCATCGAAAATTGGACGTCCAGATTGGACTACATCCGAGCCAGCCGTGGCAGTCATATCCCAAAAATCATATTTAAAATGTAATGCCACAAGATTATCTTTCGAATAAAAAAAATTCATGTCAATCGAATAATCCATCGTTGTTTTATTGCAATTTAAAGTTCTATACCTCTAAAGAAACACCCTTTATTAATTAAAAATAAAGACTCAAGTTGCAGAAATCATTTATTTTGGGTGTATCTCTTCTAATGGGAGCATAATTGCATATCAATCCAAATAGGTTTCTGCTATCTCCGCCTATGAAAGCATGAGTCTACGATCTTGTTTACCAGCGTGTCACTGACGAAGCGTGGCTGTGACAGTGTGTCATACTTACACGAGAATCGAGTCGTGTGATTCACTGGTGGTCGGTTAGGTCCCACGGGAATATCAGCGCTTACGATGTTCTGGCAGAAGCCGGGAATTTACGGGATCATACAGATATGCAAATTCGTACAAACTGCATGCTCGAGGATTATTATCATTTAGAATCTGATATGCATATTACATGCATAGAATCAACGGCGGATATACGGGGCAGTTAGAAGAATTTAAAAAAAATGACGTCAAGGGTTTAGGAAATTACATTACCTACAGCGCTCATTAAAGTTTCCAGTGATACAGTGAAATTTATAGACGATGGCATGATAACGCTACTAGTCATGCTAGACTTCAGCATGGCATTTGACATGGCAAATCTCAGAGTTTTGTGTGAAAAACTGCACCATCATGGTTTGACCGGAAATGTCATGTTGTGGTTTGGTAATTAGTTGTTTGATAGATCTCAATGTGTAAAATTGCATGGTAAAGTGTTGATTGTACGAGCTGAGTCTGCTGTTCCACAAGGAAGCGTTTTAGGCCCTATCTTATTTACTTTTTATACCTCAGATTCGATAAAACATATATCACCTGATTGGAATGTACATTTGTATGCAGATGATGTACAAGTTTACAAACCATGTCAACTAACCGATGTAAATTCTTTAATATCAGAGCTTAAAAAAAAATTAGATATAATTGAACAGACTCAAAAAATCATTGTTTGAAGCTCAATCTCTTGAAAACCAAAGTATGTTGTGTTGGTTCTAGACTAGCGATTCTGAAGTGTAAACAAGTAATAAATACGAACATATTTTTAGAAGGTATTAACATCGAAGTTGTTGAAGAAACAAAAAATTTGTGAATAGTACTTGACAAGAATTCAAGTTTTGAAAGTCACATTATAAATAAGCTCAGAGTATGTCATTATAAAGACAAATCGCTAAGTGATAGCAAAATAAAACTTGTTAATGCATTAATCCTCACACATTTAGATTATTGTACTGCTGTATATATATTACCCTTTTATCCCTGAGGAAATGCCACCAAAAATTGAAGTTTTGCAAATGAACGTACGTATTCTTATCGATTTTTTTAAGGTTTAGAAGGTATTAACATCGAATTTGTTGAAGAAACAAAAAATTTGGGAATAGTACTTGATAAGAATTCAAGTTTTGAAAGTCACATTATAAATAAGCTCAGAGTATGTTATTATAAAGACAAATCGCTAAGTGATATCAAAATAAAACTTGTCAAGTCAAGTCAAGTCATCGTTGGTTGTCAGAGCGGTCCGTGGGACCTTAGCTCTTGAGTCACAGTGTCAGTTTGTAAGTCTGTCAGGTCTGGTAACCCAGAAACCAGACAATTTTAAGGAAAAAAGGGGAAGGAAAGGAGAGAAGGAAGAACGAGAGCAAAGGGGAAGAAGAGAATCTTTTAGGATATGCAGCATTTAGGCATTGTTAAAATCGCTTCACAGATTTTGATATGGTCTAAAAATATTTGATTTTTCTAAAAATTGTGTAAAAATGCTCCAATTTTGGTTGTTCTAAGTTCACGAGTTAATTTTGATTACAGTGCGAGCCGCGGCCTTTTGTGCTTGCGAACTTGCTCGACTGTGTAGTCCACTGAATCACGCAACAGAGGGTTGCTGTGCGATTCCGCTAGGCTATAGCGCCGCTGCGCCTGTTGCTTAATGTAGTCCTTTAGGTAAGGGACATCGAGGTCTCTATGTAGAGTTTCGTTAGAGACATAAATAAAACTTGTTAATGCATTAATCCTCACACATTTAGATTATTGTACTGCTGTATATATATTACCCTTTTATCACTGAGGAAATGCAACCAAAAATTCAAGTTTTGCAAATGAACGTACGTATTCTTATCTTTTGTTTCCGGAAAAAAACACATTTATGTTCTGCATTTTTTGACGTTTTTGGGCAGAAAAGAAATACTTCGCCGACCCTATGTATATTTGAATTTTCCTACATTATTTTCTTTCCTGTTGTCAAAATCATGATATCTAAAAATCGAAGAAACCGCGCCGATTTTTCCAATTTTAAACATATTCAAAGTAAAATATAAGTTCACTAACTCAGAAACTTAATGTGCATATAGGCATAAGTTTAGGTTTCATTCTTAAAATCGTCATTGGTTGACCAAAAAAAAAAAAAACAAAATTAAGGAAATCCATTCTTTATGTTCTTTTCAGTTCCGTGACCAAAATCATCATTTCTTGCCAAAATGCGGACTTCAACAGGTTTTAATCGATTTTTGATATTTTTTTAGTTGGATATTTCACCTTGTCTGACTCAAAAACTCACTTTCAGGTCCTATTATCAAATCTGCGATTCTTGCTCCGGAAAAATGTGCAAACAGAAGAAAGCGATATTTCGGCTGATTTTTGACTTTTCTAATCAGTAGAATGCTTAGAAGCTCTGATATCCTACTATCAAAATGTCGAAATGTGGAAATATCAGTGAAAATACCATTTTTCCGATTTTTGGTGGACAAGAAATCATTATTTTTTGACAAAAATTCTGAAATCAAGCATTTCACATAACACTATTGGTTCTCGTATATTTAAGTCTTGATTAGGTTTATACAGGGTGCTCAAAAAATCGCCGAAGATATTTTAGAGGGTGATTAATCGTAAAAAATTTGAGAAAAGTTTCTATAGACATGGGTCCGGAAGTGTAGACTTTCCAATACACAGGGTGATTAATTAAAAAAATATTATTATCTTAAAAAGTATGTTCGATTCTGTTGAAATTTTGCAATGATATAAAAAGGTACGCAACTACTTTTTTCGTAACTTCAATATCTGTTGTTTGATTAAGCATCTAAAAATACAACTTATTTGTCAATTGTATTTTTTTCGTATCTCTCTTCGCTTTCGAGAAAAAAAATAAAACCCGCTTTATTGCATGTCACTGGAGAAAATTGGTAAATTAATTTTTGCTTTTGATTATTTCTGTATGGAGGTTTGAAATTTGCGCGTCAGTTTTTCTAGAAAAAAATTATACCCATAATTTTCTTTGCGAAATTTCTCTAAAAAGTTTATGTCTCGGTGTCTTAAGATATTAATCATTTTTTTGAAATTTCCATTTCCAGAACCATGTTTATACAAACTTTTTTTTATATTCTTCAACAAGGATATATATTCGTCTATTTTTCGCATATCAAAGTGGGCAAACTCCTGAGTCAACCGACTTGAGTTCACTTTACACCTGCTACACGTAACTTCAAACTGTCTCATCCTAAAACGATCCCATTTCACCCTGCGTGACCTCTTTGTGTCGAGATAGCTGATTCTTCGGTCCTAAGTGGTGTTTGGATTCAAGGACACAGCTTAGTAGCCGTGTTAGCATTCCCGTCGACGAATTCAAACAGAATATCTAAGCTGATCTTGCCACAAACTGCGACCCTGCGTAACCTTTGTTGATTAACTTGTGCTTACGTTTCTGGATAATGGATCTTAGAGGCCTAATAGACCAGTATCCGGGGACAATTTGCACAAAAGGGAATCTAGTGGTAAAAAGGACAAAGAACTTGAGTGCTATGCAGGGTGTCCGGATATTCTGCGGACGTAGAAGTACCACGTATCTTTAAGCATGATTTACCTCTATGCAAAAGTGCTTGGTTTGTCCGTTCGGGGGCGTCAAGGTTTTAATACATTTTTTTTAGATATCTTTGGAACCGATATGCAGTATTGACTGTATTAAATAAAATTGTAATAAGTGATATAATACTTATTTGTGTTCACTAACTACAGAGGGTCGATTTCACCAGGATTGTCAAATCATCAGTCCGTTATTCTCCACCTATAGGGTAACAGTCCGTCAACTACAGCGAATGAGCTTCAAGTTCCAGTCAACAAATTTTAGCAACCAAGAGCTATGAAATGTTGAAAATAAAATATTGTCAAAGTATGAGGTAACAGCTTGTCATTGAAACATCGTCAGCTTATTGAGTATTAAGAAATTACATGTAATACAGTCAAAATTTGAAAAATTCATGTTTTTTTTTTTAATATTGTTGATTGTTTATTCATGTTTATACTATTTTCTTCAATTCATATGCGATTTTACTAATTTAACATTACCTACCGTATGTTTTTTCCTTTAAACCTCTTGCAGATAGCCATTAAGCACCCACGAATTAATTATTAGTATCCGTCCCATACGCAGAGATATTAGGCATTCATTTTGAGGAAGCTAAAAATCGACAGCTGAAGGATTTGAACTTGAATCCCACTTATAACTCGTCGAACATGTGGAACTACAGGCAGACGAAATCAGCATTTTGCACGCATCATATATCCCTACTCTTGTTGGACATTTGGTGCCCACGAATCCTCCAACAACCGAGTTAAGACATTGTAGTTTCCTAAACACGGGACTGAGATTCCAGGTTTGAAAACGCCAAAGAATCAACGATTGATTTTTTGCACCATATTTAGTAATTTTTCCCAAATACCTCAGTATATGACTAATCTCTCAGTGTATGCAATGTGCGCAATTTATTTAAAAACATAGTAAGTCAACCCTAACACACAAGTAGACCAGTAAGCAACGCTCACCTAGTTTGCTGCACATGTATTCCGTTTCCCTCAGAAGAGTTGGGAGTAGACCTAATTTCCACTTTGGAGACACTTGACACCCACGTCACAACACTAAAACACCACTGAGAGACAATCGAGAACCCTATAGTGAACACCACTACTAAAAAAAGTAGATAAACCTAATAGAGCTCTGCACGGAGCTGTGAACGCGTGGACATTCCGCTGCGCCGACGGTTGCCGAGAGACTCGATGTTTACGTTGACCGGTAGCAGTCGCGCGGAGTGGGAGCTGGAAAGGTGCGTGGCTGTACTACCCGGCCGTACTGTATCGCCGCAGCGAGATACAGCACTCACTCGCTTCAGTCTCTTGGCAACCGTCGGCGCAGCGGAATGTCTACGTGTTAACAGCTCCGTGCAGAGCTCTATTCGGTTTGCTTTTTTTAGTAATTTTTTGAAAAAATGTTCAGAACATAAAAGTTCCGCCGCATGGACGCCAGGCGACGCAAAATGTAAATAACAGCTTTTGTTTAGTTTTTTTGGCAAACATTGCTACGCCTCAAACTTTATATATCTCTATTGGTATTCCTCAATAGTTTATTCAAAACTTCTTCTTTTTTATAACATTCTCCTCTGGCAATGCAGGCATCTAAGGCAAGATTTCACTAACTGGGGGTCAACATTTGCTCTAGAAATCAAAATCAACACGGGATTTGTAAATCTTGACATAGTTTACTTTTTGTCTTATTATTGAATAAAGAAACTCTCACAAAGTAAAAAACTATCACTTTTATGATTTTTTTTAAAAATAAAACCGCAACGTAATTGATCAAATGTCGTTATTTTAAAAACAAAATAGGGCACCGGCCTACTATTTCATAATAATTTCATTATGCCACCCATGCATTAAAATGATTTTTATCTTTTTACGCGAAAACGGTGCATCGAACGGAAAAAAGTCAAGAAGTCAAATTTGTTGAAAAGTAAATGGGGATTTCAAAAGTTTTTTTTTCTGAAATAAGCAATGATGTACCTTTTTTTTAAATTTCTAGTATACATCCCGCATGGACACTACCGGTAGAAATATTGAAAAATATTCTACGTCAAAAAATGCCTAAGGGTGCTTAGTAGCTAAATGTCAAATTTCATGAAAATATCTAGAACAGTATTAAGGTTATTATAAGAAAAAGGATTATTTTCTTAAAATTTCAACACCCTGTAGCTCAAAAGTTTAGAACATATGTTGATATAAACTTTTCTTCCTAAAATGAGCTATTCCTTCCATATCGTGTATATTTAGCCATCAATCAAATTACACCCTGCATAGGCATTTTTTTTTTGTTACTTTTGGATGTATACCCTAGAAATATTGGCACGTCTTTCTGGAACACCCTGTATAAATCGCCACCAGTTACAAAATCCTATTCTTCCATTTGATACGCGGATGCTTCGCATTTTGTTTGTGAAGGCACACCTGTTTCCAGGTTACTATCTCACACAGAAGCATCATAGTCTACTTCTATACTTTTATTGCTCTTGCAGTCCCGAACATAAATCTGTGCGATTTTTATTCAGGATGTGTTCGTCTGTAGATGTTTTCCTGAGCCAGGGGATCTTTCCGGCTTTTCTCAAGGACCGTTTTCAGTTAGCAGCAAGGTAGGCCATGGACGTTGCATCCACGATGAACTTGAATGCGTACGTGTGCTGGTTAAACAACAATTACGTGCTGGAGGATATAATGTGATACCTGTTCATAAAGCTTTGAGCAGCTTTTAGGCTACTCCTAATCTGGGTTATAGGACTTGACCTGGATTATTGCATAGAAGGGAAGAAATGTCAATGACACGAGGGGTGCCAAAGTTTGGGGTCGGAGAAACTTTGATGAATCACAAAAGAAAAGTAAGCGAAAAGCGCGGTGTCGATAATTGGGGTTTTTATAATCAAATCACGACTTCGGATCATATACATACAAAAATGAAATTATTCAAATTACTCCTCAAATATTGCAGAATGTGCGGCAACGTTTTGACCAAAATCTTTATTACTGCATGGAGAGTCATGAAGTATCACTCGACCCCCCTTTCCATTTAAGATTTTGGGGGTGATTTTTTGCCAAACTTGTGTCCCCCTCGAAAACAAAATCGACGGGTCTGAGCGTTTTTCAAAAAAAAAAACTGAGCTGCCAGTAAATGCGTCTGTTTCGTATAAGATGCGCCACCCTGTATTTCAGAGAGTAACAAAAAACTTGAGAATAGTGCAAGTAGATGGAAAATCGCCCCGAACATTTCATATCTTCAGTCTCAACTGGCTCTGAAGACTACCAACCTCTTTATTATTATTAATATAAAGCATACTCGTATATACATTACAAGTGTTACATCCAGAAAAAAATAGTTTCTTCAACTTGTTTTTTGGCAACATAGTAACTATATTTAAAGCATGTCAACGTTTTACCTTTGTTTTTGATTACCTTTGTTAGAATGTTATCTCTTAGTTTTTGTGAAGAATGCTGTTTCTGACAGCTGAGTGGTACAGATATTTTTAGTTATTGCCCTTTCATTTACTCAAACTGGAGCATACGACGGCAACGTTGAGAGGCAGGATGGCATAAAGTCATCTTCAGCGACGAATCGGGATTCTGTCTATAGTGTATTTACACCCAAGATAGAATGGATGCGTGATTGCCAAAAGCAAGGACGGCGTACAGGGCCGCATTCAGGGCTACCTCCGAATGATGGACTACCACCAACGTGTTGTAAAACAAAGATGACAGTATTTAACGAAATTATCTAATATTGTGAAGTAGTTATAGTTAAGGGTGTCGCAAAATCAAATTTTTATTCTTGAAGGGGTGCTAAGTTTTTCTACAGATTTTTCAAACTAGACAACATGGAGAAATACATACCAGAGGTAACCAACTACACACTATGCACAATGAATCCGTAGTCAACGAGGGGTAGAGATGACACTTTTGTACATGGCATAAATATAAGGGTCTTCAATCAATTGAAATTAGATTTTGAAAGTGCACTTCGGACTTGCATTGTCTGTAGTTTATCTGTAAGTTAATATTTCACTATTAGCATTCCCATAATATGTATTCTGTGACAAAACAAAAACGCGAAACTTACTCAGACTCACTTGAAGAGCTATCGTCATTAATGTTTATGATGATGGATTCAAAATCTCTCTCAATTATGTTGTCCAGCTCCCACATTGCTACCTCCACTTTCTCCTGAACATGCTGCACACATTTTTTCCATCTTTCTGGTGTGACCCTCTGTATAGCAATTCTGAACAGCTCTTGCATGTCAGAAAATTTAAATGTTGTATTGTGTGCATCAACAAAATTCTTAACATCTGCCCATATGAGCTCAATGGGGTTGAGCTCACAGTGGTAAGGCGGCAACCGGAGTACTGTTTTGTGGTGTGCTTTGGCCATTTGATCTATGACATATTTATCATGTCTTGGTCTGTGTTGTTTCACAATATCTAATAATTGTAATTTCAGTAAGGAAGGGTCGAAAGTTATATTTTTGGAACGGAGCCAGCTCTGAATGTCTGATTTCCTAGAAGCTGAAGTTGGGATTTTTTCTATTTTGCGAGAATGATAGGGAGCATTATCCAAAACAACCACAGAATTGTCTTCGAGACGTGGTAAAATGCCTGAAAACCTCTTCTCGAATGCTTCCCCATTCATCTCGTCATGGTAGTCAGTGCTTTTTTTTTTACCTCAAAAGACCATAAGCCGTCATCCACGAAGCCACCTACACCCCCAATGTGGCAAATAATGAGCCTTTTTCCTTTGCCTAGAAAGATAAAATCCGCTAAGTGCACATGTACGTCTTGTAGGTACGAAGATAGAGAGATATTGTGCGCAAAAATTGATACCTTGAACTACTTCGATCTATTTACCTGCTGGATTTTTCAATCCGGTCGACAGTCCATCTAGAAATGCCCTTCTGGATGAAGTCACAGTTTTGTCAACCCATACCTTCGGAGTAGTGTGCCCAGCGTTAATCCAGGTTTCGTCCAGGTAATAGATCTTCCTGTGCTGATCCCTGAATGATTTAATTTTGGTCAGGTACTCTCTCCTCCACAGAACATTATACACTATCGCTTGGCATACCCCAATTTTATCTGCCACTCTCAGAGATATTTTCGGGTTAGTTGATGTTTCGTCTTCCTTCCGCTCTATCTTGAATGTATTCAATATGACGTCTTTCATGTCTACGCTAAGATGTCTTTTTTTATCGCTTTCTAGGAGGGCTAAGGGAGTAGCCTACAGCCTCGTCAGCAGTATCTGTACTGGACATGTTCAGGATTGGTTCAAAACAAATAATAAAGAGGAATAACAATGACAAACAGAAACTTAACAAATTACTCAAATACACTTAACAACAACAACAGCAACAACCAAGCAAGGCGAATACGAAAACACGAGCACGCAGTGATACACGCGACGGTCGGTGGCCTGAATGCAACTCTGCCTGCCCTGTCCCTGCCCCGCGCATTATTCCGCCAGGCGACCGCATGAAATTTAATGGCGAATTGACCAATAAGAGGTGTTGTCCCCACCTGTTACCGAGAGATCACGCGCTAACTGTTATTATTTACACCTCATCTTGAATTTGGATTCAGTTTAGGGACGCACGATGGCCGTTGAAGGGTAAGACGCCGCCGTGGAGAACGGCCTGATATTGCATTTGCTATTGAGAGGCTTATAAACAGAACTGTTGGAGCGGGTGTATTGCCTATGGTAGACGATGATCCTTTTCTTTGTTCAAGGCTGCTTCAGTGTAAAAAAGCCACCTGGAGGAATGTCGACAAAAAATGATAGTTCGACTCGTCCCAGTAGAAATTGCGCCTGGGCTAATATCAATATGAAATGCTAATACGGAACATTCCAGGATACGCCTGTCCATATCGTACATTTAATTTCACTCAACCAAACTACGATTTTCAATCAAACTTGATGGGACCAATCATAGAAGCAATCTGCATTTCGCGTAGATTAAACGGTTAACCGCTTAATTTGTAATGATAAATTCACGTCCGGTGACATGCAAATAGCGATTTATGAACCTACTGTTTTATGCTGATAGTTATCGTCCAAAGTTTACAGATCCAGCGAAATAAGGTCACTCACGGAAAAACATGGTATTCGGATCTCTTCCGCAGTGCCGACAATCAGAGACCAGAGAATTCTTTCAGCGGTGAGC